CGTAAAAATAACCTAAAAATATATAATTCTGAGCAATGTACAGACCAAACTCTAATTTTATGTATATAGAAGATTAATCATCTATGAAATAACGAACAGCTGTTCAGAACAAGATTATTTTTTCTATGTGTAACTGATATGTTTACAAATATGATGTTTACAAATACCGCAACCATTTTCGATCACGTTTTGAAAGCAAATCCCAACCAAGTGAGATTAAAAACGTTTTACTTACATAACGGATTTAATTAATCGCAAGTGCAATGTAAATGAAATTAAATAACTAGGCATCATCCAGGTCAGGAATCAGAGATTCTTTGTGTATAAAATTGTTCTTGAGTTTTGGTAACCAGAAAGAAGACCTTGAATCAGTGTTGTATACGGCTGGGAAACTTAAATTTATTAATGATCGTCACCAATAGCTTAGAAACAAGGTTTCCAGTCATTGACGGCGCTTCAATGGCGGTTGTGTAAAGTGTTAAGTAAGAAATCACCACTGCAGTGGGTGATTGTAACAGATGTTTACGGATGATGCTAAACTCGCTTTTACAATGTGTCACTTTCTGTTCCTACCATTGACTATATGGACTTTATGGCATGTTATGAAGTACTTTTTGGGCATAACCACTACTTGGTGTACATCCTAAAAATGGGGGATTTTGGGGGAAACTAAGGAATTTCAAAAGGTAAGACCCATCAATTGACCAATTTTAAACATATGCTATAATTCTTTGTTTTGTTTACATATACGTCGTTATTTTATAACCATCATGGCAACCTATAAGGCCAATGTTAAAATTTAAAAACGTTGAGTTTCTTTAAAATTATACAGGCACTAGCTGTGTGCCCGTTCTACGTACGGGGATCTTTTAGTAAGTTGAAACCTTCAACCTTTAAATTCAGAACAGGAGATGGTTTGCATATTTAGTGTGCATTTTCCAGATATGCTGGCAAAACTATTACCACATACAATATAATACTGTAATAGGTTTCCGTGGTCTGTGCTATTTCTTTATAGGAATACATATAAACCTTCGCAAATACAATATCTGACGGTTTACAATGTTTACAAAACGAATGCTTCGCAATTAAATGTCACCCTATCGTGTTAGTCTATATTTTATATCCAATGATAAAAAATTGCCTCAAGGTAGGCCTATAATTTAAAATACATCCCACACTGTTTAAAAGTAGTTAAAATACTACCCCTACCTCACCATGCACACTTTATTCCGGTTGAAATTTTCATTAACAAAGGTGCTCTTGTCTTTTCCACGAAACACTGAGATATAAGGACATTAATGCGATACCAACAGACATACACACACACAAACACAGAATTGAATTAGGGGATTTGCTACGCTTTAACCAACCAAAGCAAAGTATTTACAAAATAATTATTTGAAATGTTTGATAGTGTCGTCAAATTTTATGATAATCGTATTTAGGCCTACTTATAGTGCAGTGAAAATGCCGTATGGAATGACAATTTAGATTTGCTGTTCTTAGTCCGAAAATGACTCGAAATGTTGTTGAAATTACGGCATAAATTATGAAACGAAGTTTGAAGTACAAAAGAATATTTAGATGGGTAATAATGTACAATAATTATTGACTTCAAATATTTATCATTGCCATATTATTTTTGTTTTCACGAAAATATTCATCATGGTTATTGTTATCTTTATTATTTACTAGCTGTTGTACCCGTGCTTTGCAACGGGAAGAGGACACAAAAGAAACATTTTAATCTTTACATCTGTTGCATATAATAGTTACACATCTGCCAACCCTTTTAGAAACAAAATTCAACTTTTATAGTCTTAATAGAAACGTTTAAGTTATGACTTTTAAATCTGGTAAGTAGTGGATACCACCATTTCGGTTTTGATTAATTTTAAATCTTGTCTAGGCTGATGTGAGAAAAAAACTTACCAAATCTTCAAATAAAACTTTTACATACATGATTTACCTTCATCCCCCTTAATTACATATCTTTTCATTTATTATTGACATTTTAAATTTCAATTTTGAAGTTGCAAAAACACTAATTATTAAATTTAAATGAACATTTTTTTTTTTTAATTTCGCTCTTCTTTAAAGAAAAATCACAAATCCTTCCATCTTCAGTTTCTTCACTCACAATAAATCATTAGCGAAACTAAGTCAGCTGTTATAAACCTTAGAAATATTGCTGTTCCTTATCAATACAGTCTTTTGAAATATTAAAGAAACTATATTTATAGGTACCTACTATAAAAAATTGTAAACAAATTATTTAGCATTAAAGACAGGAGACAAATCTAATATGGTTATCAAGGTATCAAGAACTAAAAAATGTAATAGCAAATACAGTATATGTTGCATTGCATCTCTGATTCTACTACAGTATACAAAAATATCAACAAACAACTTAATATATAAAACAGTTCTTTTAAGACCTTCTTCCATAGACCATATTGCCTTTACATTTTCACACTTACCATTAAGTAAACATACTAACAGATATTTCATTGATTTTAAAAACAAAAGAACACTGTGTACTGCATTTGACTATTAATACAACAACTGTATCAACTTATGTATCCAATAGTCAATGGTAGGCCTACTGCTTAGTTTTATGAAATTTTCCTTGGTTTAATTTAATCAGTGGTTTGGCAAAACACAAATAATAAATGTATCAAATAAAGTAAATGTTAACTGAAAGCTATTTTAAGATAAAATAAGAGTATTTTTTACTACCATTTGATAATTAAATATAGTTACATATATACAACATATTTAATTAATTAATACAACATATTTATAGAAAGATTATTCTTGATTTTCTCTTTATTTTTACCCAAGGAATCACTAGGTAAAATATGTCCCCCACCTGTTTTGAACACCATGTTTAATTTATTGTTACTTCGTCGCAAATGTGATTAAAATAATCACACAATGAAAAATAAATGCTGTCCGCAGGCAGATGGATGCACGGGTAGTCGTAGGGAGTATGGTATCGGTGAACCGCGCGAGTTGTCGAGGAGGAATGATAGACGAGAATTTGGCGTTGAGTTGAACTGCTAGTGCTGCAATTAATTGCAAGCCACTACCACAGCGACCGCCGACCATGCCGGCGACTGGCGAGGCGAGCGCGAGACTGCGTGTTTCCTCGATTCTCCGCTAGAGGCAGGATGTGACGGGGCCCTACGCATCGCGCAGTGATACGTCTGGGTTTCCATTGTCTGTGGTATAAGTAACCTATATATATGCACGCAATCTGCCAAATTGAAATATAATTTGAGTATTAAAAATTGAAAAGCAAGATAGTAAAATAACCTGACGACCACGTCACGGATGCAATGTCAGTGGTGGGGGGGGGGGGGGGGGTAACTTCAAGCATCCAAGATCTCGGAATTGGCACTAAGAAACAAAATCAAAATGTATGCAATACATAGAAATTATAACTATTGTGGCTTATATAAAAACAATTTACTGCAATACAAAAATCACTGGGTTAAAAAAAATTGAATTTCGTTTACTCAACATGAATGATGTACGGTAAAATGTATAGTCTAATTTCCAGTCTATTTATAAAGGATATTCTCTCTCAAGTAATATTAACTAAAAAAAAACAAAAAAATCACACAAAATGCGTAACATACATTTTAATTTTACACCTGTGATAGTTAATCATTTTTTCAAGAATGATGTGAGTCAAAAAGGCGTTTGGTTGTAAAATAAGACTGTGCAAAAAACCTAATAAATTAAAATTAAATAAACCTAATTAACCTAAGTCTGTAATGGGCTGATTTCCCCGAAAAACCTATTGGTAAGCGACCTGTATTCTGTGAAAATGGTGATCGTTCCCACAATGGACAATTTACGACTACACCAATGCCCAATGGTCCTAAAAATAGTCTTAATTACATACTCTTAATGAGGTGCAGAATACCATCTGGTTTTGTTTACTCAAAACCAATGATATCCGTTGGTTTATTTTTTTAATTACATTAGAACTTATAGCAGACAAGTTTTCTATGACAGTTAACAAATTCTCATTCCTTTGACAGATGAGTTTTCATAATTTTGTGCTTTCCAAAAAAACATAAACCCCTAGATATCATCGTATTTCATACCGGTACCTAAAACCAACCTTTGCATTTTCTTCTACCCTAGGCCTAGCCATAGTAACATTAGAGACACGGAGTTTGAGAAAGTCGACATTGTTCTCAAACAAGTGTCAATCAACTGAACGTGATTATATTGTGATAAATATGCAGAAAGTAAATAAAATAAACGTCTTATAACACTTAAAACGTATATTTACGCATATACTGTTACTCACAAGACGGCAAATAAACAAATAAGTGGTGATCGATTTCGATTGGACACTCCAATCATCATCAGACCCAATAGGCGAATGACGAAACTATGACAAAACTACCCAATGTTCATTCGCCTATTCGTTCTGATGATGATTGGAGTGTCCAATCGAAATAAAATGTACTATTATATAATAATATATAATATTATAAATATAAACTATTTTAGTCTTAATGGTAAACATTAAAATAAGGTACAGATTTTTAGACCACCTTGGATATTACTGTATTAAAGAACCGTATATTTTAAGTAGGTAACTAGATCCTTACAATCACAAGAGATAGTTTGAGTAAATTTAGTGTTGCTCAGTGTTCTAATCATTTATGTTATAGAATACATATATGTATATAGGACCAGGTGAGTTTCCTACTTCTTATATTCACTAGACATTAAATATTGTTTTGTAATAATCAAGGGCTTTTGTGAGAAAAATAATAATTGACAGACTAGACTAATAATTCCCTCAAAATTAAATGGCAGGTGCTGCTGGAAAAAGTGTTACTCGTTCCCAGTTTCCAACATTCCAACCCTATTTGCCATTGCCAACTCGCCTCCCTCCTAGCGTGGATTGTTGAGAAAAGTTCATTAATCAATCTGTTTAGTTCAGTATATCACAAGAGCGGATTTTTATGTTATCTATGAGAGATAACAGATACACTAGTAGTCTTGTTTCGTTCACTGAGTCTGATCTGAATTTCATGTAGAGATTTACCTCTAGTTTCTATCACATATTTACGGATTAACAGTGTTCCAAGAGCACACCCTATTGCATATAGTAAGTAATTCACATAGACACCCATAGAGTCAGAAATTATAAGATATATTTTTGTCGAAAGAAAACTTAAAATGGCAAACACAATACTGGTCATAGCTGAACAAACTGCCTTTACATTGGCTGAAAAGAGTTCTCCCTTTACATTGGCAACAATAGGTCCAAGGCCCACTGAGTACACCACAGCATGTATTGCAAAACAGTAGAATGGTATCTGAGCGAACGCTGAAACATCGACTGATGTGTTATCATTCAGAAAAAACCAGAGGCCTGGAAGAAGTGTCATAATTGAGCACCCTAGAGATGACAAAGTCAGTAAAAATCTTCTAGGATATTTATCTAAGATGAATATAGAGCCAATGCATGTAACTACTGATATCACTCCCAGGATGATGACACATTCATTAGGACCAAAGGAATTAAATGCCTCAGGAGGAAGTGTTGTGGAGGTGTAAGCCATCATCACATCATACCCACTCAGATTTTTTACCACGGATAAGATCATAGTAATGCCAACTGCCTTACGATTTGCTCTATCTTTGAACAGATCTTTGACTGAACCTTTATTTTGTGTCTGGGAAATTACCGTTTTTTCTACCATTGCTAATTCCTGATCAAGAGCTGGATCGTCTTTCCTTTGCAACCACCTCAGAGCCTCTTTTGCTTCTTGTTTTCTGTTCATCATAACAAGATAATATGGAGACTCCGGGATGAACGCCGCCACAAGGAAGTACAAGGCTGGCACCAGACCACAGGTGAGAGCAAGAGTTTCATATGACACATAGGGACCTACAATAAATACTAATAGACCACCCAGAGTCTTGAAAAGGTTGTTGAAGTTGGACATTGACCCTCTTATAGACGGTTCTGCTATCTCTCCAATATAGACGGCACATACTGTGTAGGCTGCTCCTGCTGCCAATCCGTTGAGGAAACGAGCAACATACAAGTACCATGCAGAGGGACTGTAATACGTGATAATCCATGCAGTGAGAGGCATTACGTTTAACACGTACAAGGTCCATTTCCTTCCAATCTTGTCCATGAGTTGACCAACAGGTAAAGGGCTTAGTGTGTTACCAAAGAACATGAGAGATACCACCCAAGATATCTCGGAATGGTCCAAGGAGAGTGGTGCATTGTTTTCTTTGATCTTGGGTAATGTAGGAGATGGCCAAGCGGTAGCCATGCCCAGCATCAGCATTGGTAATGCCACTGAAACATTACAAATAATATAGATTTAAGTATTTTTATTATCTCATTATTTTAAAAGGAATATTTTTCTCAAAACACACACACACACACACACACACACACACACACATACGGGGTTTTACCGAATACTCGCAAACACCTAATTGTGGCATCTTTCAACCTGCGGCCACCAGTGGATGAAGGAAGGTGGTAGAAACATGTCTGCATCGATATTTTTAATGAACACTCAATTTTAACATCTAACATTCCAGTTTTTAAATTGTGGCACCATGCCACAAATCGGTATATATCAACAGTGTGTGGACAGGATGCCACTAATGCGTTGTAGTGCTTGAGCGGTGTGTGCGCCCCCCCTACTTCTCGCGTGCGCTGTTGCCAGTTCTCCGTTCTAGTTCCTTCATTCCGTTCTGTATTCATGTGGCTATGCCCTAGCCGCTGTAGCTCATTTCCCGCGCTCATGACGTCGTCTTTTATTAGTGTAAGGATTTTATATGAAGTTTTTTTCAAAGCTCCAATAATTTTTACAATTATTGGATTTAAAGTCAATGGACCAAATGAAATGTCGTGAGGATTACATAAAACTACATGCTATTTTGTTGATATTTTATCGTCACATTGTACCTATGTATGGTTTACGAACTGAGATACTTGGAATAAAGGCCTTAATGTGCTGGGTAAATTATCAGTTTCATGGGAATCTATATATTAATTACGTAAGCCGATTCTTTGCGTCAAAATTGTGGGCGACTGGGAAGTCGTAGAACGACGTGAGAGGGCTCAAATTAAAGGTCTTTATCCCGTGACGGCGGGAAAAATAGTGAAATTCCCAAAATCTTAACACAAAATTAGATATAACGTACAATGTTCTCCATAAGAATAGCATTAGAAGGCATTTACTGCTGATTTTTGTTTACTTCAATCCAGCTGATCGTGATTTTATCATTAGCAAGTAAGCTTACATTTGGATTACTCATTTGCCAGTCAATTCTGCAATGTAATGTATACTATATAAAACCAACTATATAAAGGGATAACGTTACCTTTAATAATCAAGACTTTTTAGTTATGTCAAAGTTGAAATAAATTGTTTTCAAGATTTAAGAAACGATTCAAGATTAAAAGAAGGTCTTCTTTGTTTTTATTTCAAAACATATGTAAAAGATTTATTCCAATTTTTTTTTTAATTTACTAACATTTATATTTGAGATTTATTGTAGTGTTTAATCAATATTTTGTATGAAGTGGAATAACCTCAACGGTTACTCTTAGAAAACAATTTGGGAATAGAGATGAAGTAGGTTCGTACAGGTATTTAAACGAACCAAAAATATTTATGTCGTGATTAGTTTCGATAACTGGGTAATGGAACCCTAACTAGCCGCAAAATAGTTGGTAATTAGACGTTGACTAGGCCCTTTTTTGGTAGAATATGTAAATCAATCGCACCTTTAGGAGGATTACACAACATACTTACACTAGGCTAATAGTGGTTTTTTAATGTTGATCACAAACAAATTTAGGTCCAAGTTCTGTCAATGGGATGCCTTTACTTAAGAATAATTTTGTTAAACCTTTACAAAATGAGCATAGACTTAGAAATAATAACTGGGTAGGGTATCTCAACACACAATTTTTTGCCTTTTCTTATTTGACGAAGACAATTTCCAATACTGTATTTCAATCGGGGAAGCCTTGTTATCAGCATTAACCAAAAAACCAAAGCTACCTTAATAAACCAATATTTATTCTTAAACATGTTTGCTGCCTTTAGCAGTTAAACTCAGGAATCATTCAAATTCTCTATTGAACATAACGTTATCAACAAAAGCAAACAAAGACAAACAACAAACTGTTTTGTTTTTTTTGCACAAAAGATATGTTGTAGTGGGATATCTAGGCCTATCCTGACATATAGATAATTTGATTCTGAGTTTGTTTAAATATTCCAACAATAATTCCTTTTCCGTAGCTTTTTAGGGACTATGTCCCTACAAGCCACTAGTTTACATTAAAATACGCAATAAGTATGACTCCGTTTTTTCTGTATGCATATAATTAATTCATGGTAATGTAAAAGTATGCGTAACGAATTTTTCACCTCACTATGATGTTTTTAGCTGTTTTACATACATTTAGCTAGTTTATATTGGTGGCTGAAAGTTACGTTTTGCTGGCCATGCCAGCTGTCATCGTCATATGGGGACCGAGCAGGGGTTTACATCCCTAGGGCCGCAAAATCACTTGTTCGCCTATTTACTTAAAACATTAATGTATATTAAATGCACAAGCTGTATCCATGGCATTGCAATAGACTTGTTTTTTGTCACAGCTGCCTAGACAACTATTTATTGTTATTTTTGATTTTGCTGATTCCTCAAAATATTTCACATAAATAAGAGGGACGTTATATTGCAAAACATACTTGGGTAAAAAAAACCGCTCGTACCACGAGCCAAAATGGGTTTGCAGCTCTCGATCGTTTCACGTTCTCGACTTCGTCCCGAACTTAAAACCCGATATCGAGTCGGCAAAACCTCACTTTAGGCCCTAGGTACGAAATATACTATTTTTTTACGGTGGAATTAGAGACCCAAAGATTCTCACCCCGTTGCGAAGCATGGGCAGATAGTTAGTTATAAGATTATAAAGTCTTTACTGTTTTGTCTGTACATTGCGTAGACTCATGAAGTGTTTGGTTATTTCTACGTTGTATATAATAAGATAGCCGAAACGAGTCTTGTGTATATATCTGTACGTTTGTTTGATTCTTACTGTTATTGTGCCTGTAACGCAAAAATTCCAATTCACGTGTCCTACCTTGGGAAAACTAGAGCACCGTTCATGATCCAAATAGTTTTGTAATTGTTTGAATAAATTTGCCAAGTTTGATCAAAATATATCCATAAACAAGCAAACTACAACATTTTACAATAATCTTTATATGAATAACAAGGGAATTTTAAATTTACAATTTTTGAATTTGTCCTGTTACCAATAACCGTATAAAAACACTTTGATCTACTAAATTATTTGTTTTCTAAGCTATTTAAAAAGGTCTGGATATAAATTGGGAAATTTTGTATTTTTAAGGTAACGTTTTTCTCCATTTCATATATTAGTAACAATATGTATAGTATCAAATTCAGTAATAACATTGACTACTGTATTTAAACCTTAACACAAGTGTTTATATATTCATTGAGGCTACTGGTGCTACCGCTGATGGCTTATGCATGTGTACGTTATAGTCGGGGGGCAAACTGTATTCCGTGGGATTTTTTGTGAAGGGAATGTGTGACTATGTGGAATCTCTTTATTATATGTCACATAATGGTGTAGTACCGGGTGTTTACCCTAAAATTGCGGGGTTTGGTTTTTATGACGTCGTAAATCCAAGATGGCCGCCATGTGTGACATCTATTCATTAAATTAAAAATGACTCTTTTCAGAGTAAAATAATCGAATTTTAATTTAAACCATTGAATTCAGCTCAAAAAATCAAACAATTTGGTGTTTTGAATCATTGCTCTATGACCATTGGTTACCAACATATTGAAGGCGGAAAACACAGAACATGGTCCCCATGTTATCCTTATGGGGAAAAAATAAAATTGTATATCTAGCTTATTACTCAGCATATCTTAATAATAATTGGTATGTGGCTTCATTTAGTAGAGATCTACTTGATTATGACCTAAAATCCCCCATTTTTACATTTCCGTGGCAGCAAACCTGCATACTAACTTCCAATGTTATTCTTATGGACAATTTTTTGCATGTACTTTGTATATAACTGCAAGTGGTTATAGTAGTACGTTTTCTGTGACCTAAGTGATGTAAACAGCACGCTCTTGCGTAACGTGTAACGTACAAGATTTTACCTGACCCGACAATAAACATGGGTTTACGTACAATATTTTTCATTATCCATTTCACTCATCTTCTATCAGTAACGTTCTTTTACTAACAAAAGCTAGGTTAGGTAGGAAAATACTTTAAAGCATAATAATAACATCCAAGCGCACAGCTGATTTCTAGCGTTGAACATTGTAGGCTCTATAGAGTTATATTTTTTAAGTTAAGCACTCAATGTTATTTAAATGGGTTTCTTTACATCACCGAGTGAGTTTTTGATACTTTACATCACTCGAGAAGTAAGGAAGTTGTATACATCACGCTTGGGATAGGGAAGTTTAACATGGCGGGTTAGGTAAATCAATTTAAATTATTATTTACTACACAAATTATTTGTAATGTAAAACATTGTTCACCACTCGGAGCAAAAGTATATTATTTATGGTACTTAAATTGTTTTATAGTACGTGGCAGTGTAGTATTATTAGTTTATTAGTTGCTTGTTGCACTGTTCTACACACTGCTCAAGCTCTACAGCTCATTAAGTGGCATCCTGTCCACACACTGTTGATATATACTGAATTGTGGCATGGTGCCACTATTTCGAGTGTAGGCTGGCGCGAGAATTGGCAACGTAGCATTAGGAAAGTTATAGTTCCGGCGGACGGCGCGAGGCGCGCTAGCTACCTGTATGGTTTCGTGTTCCACAATTCGGTGTGTACCTGCGCTACTTAAACTTACATCAACGAGTTCAAAAATACTCAATTGTGGCATGTGATGTTTAAACGACGTAATAATGCTGGAAAACCTCAAAAATGATCGAATTAGCTGTGGCACCCTGAAAAAGGTGCCACAATTTTTGAAGGTGCCACAGTACGGTGGTAGGTTAGTTCCGCAGATAATGACCCTAGGGCCATAAATGGGTAGGTTAGTTCCGCATTTGAATCTGGTGGCCCCTTAAGTAGGTAGGTTAGTTCCGCATTTATATTGACAAAGGTGGGTTACACTTCATTAGACAAACGTAATTAGCCTCACTAAAAGCCGACGTAGAATGAATATTGAACATATTGAAGTTAAATATCCAAAGATTGGATACGCTTGTATCCGATAAGTAATTCGGAATATTGATGATACAAACTCTACAAATTTTAGGTTTGGGATGTAAGGAAATTCACCTGTTTCATAAATGTTAACAAAAATTACCTTAGTAATAATACTGATTTGACTTTTTAGTAATAACGAGTTGTTGGCCCGTCCTACGTCCTACGTACGGGAATCGAGCAGTCCACTAAAACTGCATATAGTGTATCTATTACTAATTCAGGCATAGTTTAATCAGTTCAAAAATGATAGTAAAGAAAAAGCTTCCAAGATGAGTTAAAACATGTGATCATTGTTATTTCCCCAACCTTTCCTCAAAAAGTCGAATAGTAAAATAATTCTCATAAGTTTTTTTTAAGATTCCTGAGCTTCGATTCTTATACAGCAATGGTTATAGAATCTTACTGATTTTCTATAATCAATGACAAAATCTCAGAGTAAATAAACTAACCTCATAAATCTATAGAATATTTTTTATTCAACCAGCTGTTAGTTATAACTAATTATATTTCACTAAAACAAACTAAATATTTTAAATACTGCTCAAAAAAATAAATTAAAACATCTATTATTTTACTATGTATATTTAAATAAACTTTCATTCTCTTACCGATTACATAAACCTATCAATGGTTATATCATTACACATAGTATAAATAAGTCAATTCTACGTATGTCATTTCATTTTCATCCAAAAGCTGAATTTGTGTAGAAAAACGCGGAATGTTTACAGTGTTGTTATTATACCAAAAGCTAGAGTATAATGTTAGCGTCGGCTGCTAGAATTTTTAAAATTTAAAACTTAATTTCCAAAAAACTGAAACCCTAAACTAAAATTATGGCTTTGACATTCCCTAGTTCTCAAAATTATCTTTCTTTCAACACAAAAATCATGAAAATCGGTCAAGTGGTTGATTCAGAATCGTGAAATAAAAAAACCCTATCACGTTTTAATATTATAGATAGAAGATACTGCACAGATACCGTACACACTAGGATTAGTTGTGATAATAGCTATGTAAAAAATCTATGAACATCTATTTTATGTCGTTTCAAAAATTAATGTTATTGTAGCAACCAATCGAAGCAAATTAAACTGTGACAGACTGTCAGTGCAGGATATCAGTAATACTTGATGAACAATAATATCTCTTTAAGAAAAATGAAATTTGTAATCAGTATAGGTTTAGACTATGGGTAAGACGGGAATAATTTTTCGAAAACAGTAAAAACAAGGTCAGATTCTGAAATATGATACAATATTTTACAAGACGTGTTTATTATAACTGTTATTATCAGCGTAGGTCTTTCCATGAGTTGTATACGCTTTTAGTAGGGTCTTTTAAACTCATAGAAAATTAAGACTACTAGTTTTAATATAGCTTCTGTTGTACCGGTACTAGAAAACTGCTCGATTTCGAGCAACAGGTGCAGTAGTTTTGTTTTATATTTTTAATTTGTTATAAAATGCTTACAAAGTTTAAAGTTTTTTTTTACCCATGACAGGTTTAGTTTACCAGTTATTAGCATTTTGTAACATATAAGTATTGCGAGTCCCATGCCTCACTTTAAGTTTAAGTTTCCTAAAATGATTCACTCGCTTAGCTTAGTCAAGAGGTGTCAGGTTAATGAGACATAAGACTGCTTAAGGGTGTTACTCAACGTGTAATGAACAAAAATTTAAATTTAGAAAAACAACAAAAGTAACAAAGTGTTACAACAGCAAAAGAAAACTTTGAAAATGCAAAAATCCACAATAATAAGATAAATTAATTTACAACGTTAAATTTACAAGAAAAGAAAATCAATTGAAAATTTAAAAGAATTAGTTACTGACAAATTACATGACTTGTATGTTTGACAAAACTTTAGTTATATATTTTATTCTTTTTACATACTGTTAATTGTCCCAGAAGCACACGCACCGATACACGCACTCCCAAACTCCCGATCTTCTTTCTTCGGTGGCCCGTGGTGATCTCCTCGATTGTCCTCTCCAGGTCCTCCAGCTCCAAGACTCGTCACCCCTCCATCTTCTTCATTAGCCCTTCTCATTGGCTGATTACCGATAGGGTGTGTGGCTTAAAGGTTAACGGTGTTTCTTGGAAGTCAGCCCTACCGGTCATCGCCTAGCTCACATCAGCTGGGAAAGGAATTTGTAAATCGATGCTCATGCTACTGTTCAACTCTGTTCACACCAACTGGTCGACTAAGTGTAATGTGAACAGAGTGTCTGCATAGATGAGCACCGTGGGTACAGGGTTAATCCCCTTTCTTACAGTATTTAAGCAACAGCTGGTGTAGTGGGATTTTTAGTTTGAAGATTGCGGCTTCACAGGGCAGGTTGTTGGCAATACACAGTTTAATGGTACATACCGAGTTGATAATGATTTGACTGGCTGGGATCGGTGCAAGAAATATCTGCATCAGCTTTGATACAAAACTAGAGACACTGAAACATGCTACTTCAACTTTAACTCATTCAGATCTTGCTTATTTTTATGGATTATTTCGGTTGACTGGCTTTTTTGTACGCTTCACTGCTCTTTAGAATTTCAAGAGATCTATTGTTTAAGCCGTCAAATGCGGAACTAACCTACCAGATTATAACCCACCCTACGGGACCCGGATTAGTGTAGGTAGCAAATGCGGAACTAACCTACCCCCCACAGTACGGCCGTGTGCCTGTGAAGGATGCCACTATTCGGTGAATACAAACACACACACACACACACACACACACGCACACACACACACATTCATCACTTCAAAAACCACTTTTTTGGATTCAGGGAAACTCAATACATATATTTCCACCTAAAATGCAACCTCAAAAAAATTACGAAAACCATTCTTCCTCTAAATACTATATACTGTATGAGAAAAAAGTATAAATATAAATATAGTACAGTACTAGTAATAATTATACTCTCAACCAATCACTATAGGCCTATAGGAGACACCTCATCATTATATTAAAGACAGTTTATGATTGACGATTTTTATAAATTATAAACAATAATGCATACCTGTCATCGCTCCAATGTACTGCCACATGAATCTGAATTTCAGGTTATTCGAAGGTAAAGCCATAATTTTTTAATTATTTGTCTGAAACTCAATTAAGTGCATTAATTAAAAGTTTAAGGAAACATAAACAAAATATTATTCCTGTCTACAACAAGAAAATAAAGCAAAACAAATGAGGCAAATTTACAATTCAAAATTGTGATATTTCAGTTATTTTTTGTTCTTTGGACTTGGTGTCGTTTGATAGGATATTTTAATTGCTAAATAAAAATTTTCTAAACGTATTTGAAAAAAAAAAACTAATTCTTTAACAATTTTAATATACAAAATTAAAATCGCCGTCATTTTTAAATTTATATTGGATTAAAATAGTTTTTTTATCTTTTACCTGAACATACATACCATGTTTTATAATGATCAGTTGAAAAAAAATTCAAGAATAAAAGCGATCTTGGAAAAGTGTTATTCTTGATTTTCTTTTTATTTTGATCCATAGAACCATTTTCTTAAGTTTGGATGTTTACTTAGGTAAACCTTGTACATTCCAGCAAAGACAAGCAAATTAAAAGACTCATGAGAGTTTAAGATCTGCATTTACCTGACCTGTAATCCTAGTTTATAAACAAAGCGTTAGGTAATATTTTTGATTATGGATGGAGATAAACATTTCATTCCATGTTAAAGTTCTGAACAAACATGAACGTAATTAAATTGAGTCAACGCCTACAGCAGAGCGCTCTTGTGTAACTGATTTCTGTCGAATACGACTACTTTTTAACCAAGGTAAACCGAAACGACAACGTATGATTAACTGTAACACCGTTTATACCATACCTATCAACTATCATAGTAAAAAAAATCATGTAGTATAGAATGATTTTAAACTCTGTCAACAGAACACTTTGGTTGGGTTATTTAACTACGATCTGATTTGCATATAGATGAGACGTCTACATTAGAATCTAAGTGAACGGATGTTCCGTCTATCAGAGCTCTATGTGGGCAGAGAGATGATCTGAATTAACATAATAAACCGAAAGGCCGATCGCGGATGTTGCCGTTTAACGGGTGTTGCCACTGTCGCGGGAGACGATACCGATGTCGCGGAGATCAGACGTACTCCGTACTCCTCACGATATCAGACCATGACCCGTTCCCGTCATGGTCGGGTAGGAGGGGTTATACTTGGTTTCCAGCTTGTACCAAGATGAGTTTTGACGTTGGACTAAGCAACCACATTTTAAATATTTTTTTGTTTTATTTCCAATTTTTAAAACATTGAAATTACAGATTTACCTTGACTTAAAATAGCTATTTATACTGTACAATTGTTTTGTATCATTGCCGTGACAATATTCCAATTTAACTACATACAGTAATGCGCTCAAACATTTCTTTAAGTGAGTCCTCTTTTTAAACTCTTCGAAAATGTTTCATTCTTAATTCGAGCCTTTCAAAATACCTTTCTCATTTTTGTTCCACATTTCCCTCGTTATTTTAAAGAATATTTCTTATAATTTTTTTTTCTGGAGAATTTCTTTCTTTCTAATCATGCCAACTACATCAGGGTTGAAAATTACATCCCTGACCTTCCAGCCCAAATCTTTGGGTCGCTAGCAGGGTGTCCTGATTGCGAACAGTCCTGATTGCGAACAGTCCAGACTGCGAACATGTTTGGTTCTACGAGGTGGAGGGGGTCGTCCGTGGGGTGGGGAGGATTCCTGATTGCGAACACATTTTGAGTTGTCGGGGTTTTCAACCCTTCCATAGAAACCCTTAACAGAATGATTTAGCCAAAATCACAACTTAAGACTGGTAATATACATAATGGAGAGGATGAATGTCCTTCAGGACACATATCTTTATGAGACGTAGTATTGTACGTAAAGCCGCTTGTGACAGATTCTTTCAGACTCACAAATCCGTTCTGATAATATTTAAAGTGGTTGTTTCTTTAACAGTAACTTTCGTACCTAAGGCCGAAAATGAGGTTTTGCTGGCTCGAGATAGTTTTTAAGTTTGTCCCGTGGTACGAACGCTACTTTTCACCACACTGTACCCTATTACTATACACTATTCACCACAATAATAATGCACACTGATTGTCAACACAAGTAGAACTTTAAGGTTATGTGAAGAAATAATTTGAGGATCAGCAAAATAATAATAAATAGTTGCTAGGCAGCGGTGACAATAAAACAATTCCATTGAAATGCTATGGATACTGATTGTGTATTTAATATGCATTCATGTGTTAAGTTAAGAAAGTAGGCGGGCAGCTGATTTTGCGGCCCTAGGGATTTAAAAACCTGCTCGGTCCCCAAATGACGATGACAGCTGGCATGGCCAGCAAAACGTAACTTCCAGCCACCAATTGACATATGTAAAACAGCTAAAAACATCATAGTGTGGTGAAAAATGAATTACAATATGTTTGACCATAGACAGTATGTTTTATCTATGGTTTGACTTAAACAAGCAACTACAATAACTAAACAATCTCAGAATAAAAGAAATAAAACAACCATTTCATATGAATACTATAGTTTAACACAATTAGCCGAAATAACATGCATTTGCCAATATCACATTCCAAATTCAATCATTACCTAAAAAAAAACATCAATTTAACGAGCAATTTAAATAACAACTAAAACAAATACAATACTTACATACATCTTACATCGGAAATAACATGTGCGTTACACATTACAAACACATTACAACATCAATCATTCAATCACATTCCCAACTCAAGCTCAACAACAGCGACTAAACCATCTTTACAGATTCCAAAATATTTGTTCGCAGTCTGGACGCCTCATGTTCAGGTAGTCTACTGCATTTTTTATGTGTTCGCAGTCTGGATGATTTTACCCTTGTTCGCAATCTGGACTGTTCGCAATCAGGACACAACCGCTAGCAGCACGGGTCGCATGTGGCAAGGCACCAGAATGAGAGGCTAGAGTACCATACAGTTCACATGCATGTCCACACACAAAGACATAATTCTATAACAGCTTGTTTTCTCTTAAAAATAAAAAATTGTTATACTGACCAACTCAAAATGAAAAAAATATCATGCAATAATTATGTCCCCATATTCTGTGAACCGGGGGGTAAACATTTTCCCCATTTTGAAGCTGAAAACATAAAATGCCACAATTTATTTCTAAACTATTTTAGAGCTTAAAAAAGAAATAATTTATTATATTAAAGCGTTGTTGTATGCCTAACTGTAACTGGGGAAAATGTAAATTAACTAATTCCCATATTATTCTTATGGAGACTAAATAAACTCTTTTAGTTGTCTTGTTTATGGATATTTTTAAATAAAACTTGGCAATATGGTGTGTTTCAAACTAAGATATCAACATTTCATTTAAAAACACACCATTACCTTCTCTGTAACAGCAAACCTAAGCACTCGTTAAAATTAATGTCATAGTAATTAAATCTGACATTTTCAGGTAATTATTTTAGTGGAAATCTAACCAGTAAATGGAGATTCGCTTAATCTGCAGGTTAGCTGCGGTGGGTGTATTTTATTTACTACAGTAACAAATTAATTCTGGAAGGGTTTTCAGATGGTTTGTAAAAACTGGTGTTGATTGTAACTTTTAAAAACAAATTAATATTTAATTTGAACACTATAAAATTTCTTTTAATATTACAGATAAATAATAATACTCTGACTTTTATCTTAGCTATGGTAACTACATTTTATAATATTTGTTGGCTACACTTCTAAGTTGTAAAAATATCTTACAGTATTGGCTTACGATTTCTTGGATAAACTAGGCCAAACAAGTTTAATAAAATAACAGATTCTATTTTGAATGATATATTGTTGCATATTATTATGATATCTATAAAGGTACTACTTACAAGGGTTAGTTTTGCTCTCAATGGTACTAGAAAATGCTATCTTGAGAAATGAATAAACACAGCTCTGAGTTACAGCTCTGATGTAAGCTTATCTATAGAAGCTCATAATGTCAGAAGGTCGTGGACCTGTTTTAGACCTGTATAATGGCACTTGATATCAAACCCAATTTGAACAAGAATATTATAAAATCATAGTTTAAGACTCACATTAAAAGTTTTTTTTAAGCTGCAAAGTTACACACACTTTATTAGTGTTTCGATATACTGTATCTTCTCATCTGAAATCAAACTAAGGTTTATCATTTGCTAATGAACGAAAACTTTTTTTTGTTTTATATAAGTGTTAATGATCCATTAATTTAAAGAAATATCTGTATTCATGCTGCGTGATGTCCTGGGTGACGTAGGCCTATTCATTCGTGCCACGTGAAAGGTTGGTTATCCCTTTGATTCACAGTGGTATTATCAGGATACCACTTGTAAAATAATTTTTACTGCATTGATGCATACTGGTATTGTGGAAATACCATACCAGGGGCCTAGTCAGTGCTGTAACCTAGCGTATTTTGGAGGAACTAGTAGCTTCTAGATTAATTTAGTATTAAAGTTGAAGTTTCAAAGCGTCATTGCTTGCTACAGGCTACAGGCTGTTATGCAGAGGTTTTGACTGTCTTGTATACCCTTCTATTACATATAACAAAGTAAGATATATGTTTTTATGTTGAATTAGACACTATGTAATTGTTATATTGCATCAAAAACACTGTTTTTGTTCAAACTGAAAGTTTATTGTGCCAAATATAGGTGGTATACCTACAATACCACTATGCTACTAACACTAGACATATTTTGTTGTTGCCTTACTAAGCTAAAATATAATTTCAAGCATATTTTGTGATAATTTTCGTTATTGTTTCAGGTAACTCAATCATAAATTTTACTTACTATATTTTAAATATTTATTTATTATTCTCAGATATCCAAAAGACATGACTGAAGACATCTTACTAACAGAAATTCTAAATGACGGTTGCTACGATGAAATAGGTTTATCAGATAATTTACCAGATGACAGTAGTCTCTCTTCGGCAAATATACTCATCTTCATTGATGAAAATACATAATTTATTTTTATCAT